GGCTCATTTCTGAGTAAGTGAACAGGAGGGCTCACAAGAAGACAGAGTTGTTTTCTCCTTACCCAGAAGAAATTGAAGCCTAAGGAGGCAGAGCTGCTAATAATAATATCTAACCTGCATATAGCACTTTAAGGTTTGCAAAGCACTTTAAATATACTGTCTCATTTGATCCTCAAATCCTGAGTCACATAACCAAAAGCAAAGTCAAGAACCCAGGAATTCCCCAGAAGACAAAACTAGCAGTAACTGGCATAAGTTGCAAAAAGGAAAATTTAGGCTTGGAGGAAGAAAAGACTTTCTAACAATTAAAGCTCTGAACAAAAGTGGGGTGGGCTGCCTCTCTAGAGGGGGTCAAGCAAAGGCAGGGCCCTTGTAGTAGGGATTCTTTTTCAGGTATGGGATGCACTAGATGGCATCTGAGTCCCTTCCAACTGTGAAATTCGGTGCTTCTGAGCCCTGGCCCCCAGTGCCATGGAGGTCTCTAGGGGTAAGGCAGGAAGGAACTTTTCCTCTTCTTATTACAAAAAACCAGTCTTTAGTGCAGTACGACTATGGGCTTACTCCTTAAGAGAGACTTAAGAGATCGCTATCCTTCCAAGACTGCCCCATAAAATAAGAAGGGGCCAATGACTTCAATGAGCATCCATCCCTGGGGAAGAAAAGGGATTCTTTGCACCCACAGATATCTCTCTCACTCCTTCTCTCTGTCTCTGTCTCTCTTTTACCAGCCACACACAAAACATATGGACACCTACTCCCCAGCCAAATCTATCTGGGGTCCTACTCACTTCCCAAATGAGGGAAAAGCCAAGCTCTCAAAAGATCCCACCCTACTCTACTCACTCCTTCCTGACTCCACCTACCCTTTGTACCCTACAAGTCAGAGGTGGAGGCTGGGAAAAGTACATTTACCCTATCCAGACCCTGAAAGAGGAACAGCCTAAGAACACACGTATGGGAATCACGGAATGACAAAGTTTAGAAGGACCCTCGAGATCATGGCACTTAGCACAGTGCTTGGCACATAGTAGTTGCTATATAAATAAATGAGTATTCCCTTCCTGTCACCTATTGAAAAACCTCCAGTGGCTCCTCACTTCCTTCTGAATAAATTCCTAATCCTGGTATACAAGGTCCTTGATAATGCCATTTAGACCTATCTCATCAGCCTTGGGGAATACCACTCCTCTGCACATACTCTATGATCCTGCCAAACTGGACCAGTGTTATTTACCACACTTGCCGCTCTCTTATCTAAAGTGGAGTGTCTCCGTTTCCATTGTCCTTACACCTGGAATGGACTCCTCCACATCTCTCTGTTTTGAGTCCATCTCTCTCCTTCTCACTCTCCCTCTCCCTCTCTCTCTCTCTTTCTCACTCTCTCTCTCTCTCTCTCTCTCTCTGTGTTTCCTTTTCTTGATATTCCAAACCCAGCTGCCTCACCCTCCATGCATGCTTTCTTAACCACCTTCCTAACATGTAAGTGATCTCCGCCTCCCCAAATTTCTCCCAAGTCTGCCTGGATGTCCCTTCGCACCAATCTTACACTCCTTCATATCAGTTATTTTGGCACGTGCTTCCCCCATCCCTACCTCCCACACCCATTAGACTATAAGCTGTTTGAGGGTAGGATCTGAGCTTTAGCTAACCCATGCATCATATCACTTCTAGAGCGCACCTGATAAAAGTCTGCTGACAAGGAATGATCGTATTTTTGTATCTCTGGTACCCAGAACTGTACCTTGAGGAGGTCTAGACTTGGCTTTCATTAGTGTAAGGGAACATCAGTGGGTACTTCAACAGCTCTGGGTCACGGAGAAAATCGACTAGTCCATGGTCACACATCTTCTTGACTCCAAGACTCCTTCATGGTGTAGCAGGATGTCAGGATATGGGAGGCTACATCAGGATATGAATCCTTCCTCTGACACTAGCTATGAGATGCTTCAACTCTCTGGACCCCTTTCCTCATAATGAAACAGGGATCATAGTACTCACATTAACTACCTCACAGGGTTGTTGCAGCAAAGTACTTTGTAAGCCTTAAAGCACTATAGGAGGTGTGAGTCGTAGGATTATGATGGATCCAATACCCCCATTTAACAGAAAAAGAAACTCAGGGACAGATATGGAATGTTTTGGACTGAGCACTAGTGGTTTTCCTGAGTTTTTTCATCCTGCAATTTCCCAACTCCTCAGGGTCCCCAAAGCTTCCCAAACTCCAAAGTTTCAAGTGGAAAACCCCAGGGCTACCAAATTACAACCAGGAGCTAACACCAATCCCCTCTGCAGAGGATTCAAGTCTTTAGCAGCTGGGTTTTGTATGCTGTCCCCAGGCCCACCCCCAACTCAGCCCCAGGTCTGTTTCTGTTTTTCCCAAACCCCTTTCTTTCCTCCTTTCCCCTTATTGCTTTCCCAGACCCTGATCTCCTCCATTCCCCCCCTCTTTCCCTTATACCTAGCCGGCTCACTCACATTCCTTACCCACACCCTCTCTCCAAACAATACCCTCCCCGAGGCCCTCCCAGCTGACCACCAGATCCTTCCTTCCACAGCTGACCTCAGGGTTGCTGCTGAGGGGCCCAGGCAGGGAAAATCCCCTCTTCCCCTACCTTCTCTCACTGGGAGCCTGAATAGAATGCAGCAATCTTTAGGCACAGGTCTTCTGGAAGTAGGGAAGTAAAGCACCCTCCTCCCCAAGGCAGCTTGGAAGATTAGCCATCCCACAGCTCTAGGCTTGAGCTGGGAAGATGGACTGGGAGTAATCAGAATTTCTCACACCACTTGAATGTAATATACAATCCACCAAGGGGAAGCAAGTGTTCCCTCCACCATATTGGGTGTTAAAATCTGGTCTCCTGGAACGCCTAGAATTCTGGTTGACCTAAGTGGATGCTCTCTGCTCTCCTCTCTCCTAGCCCTTCCTCTACCTTTTTGGGGACATTACGGAATACGGATTAGATAAGGAGTATGTGTGGGGAAATAGAGGATCAATCTGAGGTCCAAAGGAGAAGAGGGCATGAAAACCAACCTTGACAGGAGGGACTGAGTAGGCCTGAGCAATTTTGGAGGTCCCCTTGAGGCAATTTGACCCACTATTCAGCAAAGGGTAGTGTCTTCCAAGCACTGAATTTGCAAAGCCATCTAGACTGTCCTAACTCAACCCTCCATCCATGTCATTCTCCCATGGTATGAACTGAATGACTCAAAGTCTCACAGACTTCCCATACTCAAAAAAAAGGAGGGGGGGTGCTGCTTTTCCTTTTACTCTCTTAAAGATACCACAAAAGTTGCCTCATGCTAGAGGTTTAGAGGCAGCTGGTCAGGTGGAGTCTAGGCTGAGTGGGCGCAGGAAGCCTGTCTAGTCTTTGTATCATCCAAAGTATCTAAAGCAGAGTCATGTATATTTCATTCATTCATTCACAGGGACAAACAAAATAGGGATCAGAAAAAAAGGAGAGGGGAGAGAAATAGCCCAGGCCAATTAAGAATTGATGGCAATCAATTCACTTTTCTGCCTTCCTCCCTCCCTTGGCTCCCCCACCTCAAAAACCAGGGCAGGCCACCTACCTTGGAAAGGGTGTTCGTGTGTGTGTGCGCGCGCGCGCGCCCCCGTAGAAGTCTGAGGCAGGGAACCGACAGGAATGCATGCTTAAAGTGTGTACTGAAGTCAGACCTCCCTCCACCTTCCTTAAAGAACTCTTTTGTTCTGCTCCCCAACTCCCCCCACCGCCGAGCCTTAGCTTCATCTAGGGTCCCTATTCCACTGCTCCCTCCACCCCACCCCCCATCTGGGCCCTCCAAAGTTTGTGTCTTTTGTTTGGCTGTGTTTGGTTCTCCAGACCTCGGATGTGGAGGCAATACAGAAATGGGGGGGGTAGTGTGAGTAAGGAGAAAAGTGTATGTTGAGGGAAGTAGGGAAGGGGAAAGGGGGAATAAGAGTGTGTGTGTGTGTGTGTGTGTGTGTGTGTGTGTGTGTGTCGGGGAGTGGGGAGGTGGAAATAAGTGTGTCTGGGGGGTGGGGAAGGAAAGGTGAAAATGTGTATGTGTGTGTTAGTTACGGGAGTAGGAAAAGGGAAAGGTGTGTGTGTGTGTGTGTGTGTGTGTGTGTGTGTGTGTGTGTGTTCCGGGACTAGAGAAGAAGGTTGGTGTGTGTGTGTGGTAAGGAAGTAGGGAAAGAGAAAGGTTGGGGTGTGTGTGTGTGTGTGTGTGTGTGTGTGTGTGTGTGTTCCGGGAGTAGGGAAAAAGAAAGGTTGGTTGATGTGCGTGTGTATGTGTGTGTGTGTGTTCCGGGACTAGGGAAGAAGGTTGGTGTGTGTGTGTGGTAAGGAAGTAGGGAAAGAGAAAGGTTGGGGTGTGTGTGTCTGTGTGTGTGTCTGTGTGTCTGTGTGTGTGTGTGTGTGTGTGTGTGTGTGTGTGTGTGTGTGTGTAACACCAGCAGTCTTGGTTAGGAGACCCGCATCTCCCCCTGCTCTGCTCAGTAGCCCCGCGCCGCGCCTCCGAGCGGGTTTCACCCCCGGGCCGCCCCGCCGCGCAGTCCTCATCCCCTTTGGGGCTCCTGACCGGTCCTCTGCCCTCACCTGTGGACGGTCCGGCGGCCGCCTGCCTTCCTCGCCTTCTCCGAATTCTCCCTCCACAGTCTGGGGGCCCGCCTCCTAGACCATC